TAAGCAACAGAACTAAGCTCCATAGACTACTCCGGTACCTCTTCCAATGTGTAGTATCCTCTGATTTGACGCTCGACCAGCTCTTTGGTGATTCAGATACCGGATCACCGTAGATTTCAGGATCAAGTTTGCTCTTCATTGGCCATTCCTATGATTTTTTTTTGGCTGCAACTATCAGTTGAAAATTTGATACATAAATTGAAACATTTTTCTCAGTATTTTTTATATATATAAATATCATATCGTAACCAATTGAATAGCATATGGGTTGATTCCGGGAAGGGTTTGTCCAGCAAATTCCTCATCCCTAAACCAAAAAAAATTGTCACCTTCAAGAAAAAAGTTTGTTGCTACTACCGAACTCCTACTTTATTGCAGTTTCTGCAACTAATTAATCGTTTAACTTTGATGAAAGAAAATAAAAAGTTAAATATTAAATCATTAATTATTAAATTATTAAATTATTTTAATTTTAATTATCTAACTATTAATTTACTCATTAGTATTTTTTATTTTATTTCGATTATCAATCGCTAAATAGTGAGGAAAATAATGACGTACCTTAATATAAAATTTATAACAAAAAATAAACTCTAAACTAGAGGCAGAAAATATTTTAACTTGGAGTCTTTCTTGGAGACCTTCTTTTTCCCTTTCTCTCTTGACGCTCGTTTAAAGGAGAAAAATAATAATTTGTCAATATAATGTGCATCGAATAAATTGGTATTATTTATAGATGTGGAAGATTAAATTTATAAATTATTTTAAATTGTAATCCGATTAATAAATAAATTTTAAGGATAAAATATATTATTATACATAATCACATTTCATTATCTTTTTAATAATAGGCGATCAAAATAAAACAAAGTAAAATACTGGTGATTAAAGTAAAAGTTTTAGTAGTTAGATTACTAAATAATTTACCCTAAAAGAGCTTATCCAAAAAATCAACTTAAAAAAAGAATTTTTGATTAATCTAAGGGTGACTATAAGGTAGTATAAATTCAAAAGACTCTTAAACTATTTGACAATAAACGTTTACATCCTTGACAAACGATCAGAAACATAACTAGGAATTTATTATAGCGGGGTTAAATTTTTTTTTATTTTCCATAAATTTTTAAGTTGAGGGAACCTGGTAAATTTTTCTTTATTATATATATATATATTTAATATTAATTAATACTTTAAAAAATAATTGGCGGGGTAAAGGGGAATCTTGGCCCCATGTAGTTCCCTCTTTACATAAGATGTGCTTGAATCTTAGACCTTTAGCATTAATAATCATTCTTTTAATCATTGGGATAATTTAATTTATGCTAGAATTTAAAAAAATAATATTTTCTTTCGAGTGAGAAAACTATAAAAAGAAATTACATTATCAAAAAGTATAACTAAGGATTAATAAAAAGAACTAAGGATAAGTAGATATCGTTACTTCCCGTGAAAAAATTACGGAACTCGTACACTATGGACCTCACATATCCGATCAACCCTATTACGACGATGTTTTTGGCCTTTACCAGTGACATGCTATTCTGCACATTAATCAAATCAGTGGAGGATGCAATTTATGCTTAAGATTGGTAAGTGTTCATTTCAAACGTGAGTTATCTTCTAATTAGTTATTTATGAATCATTAATAGTATACAAGGAAAAGGATTGACAAAATGTAGAGGAATGTAACCTTGTGAGTGAAGAAGACTCGCTTTTGAGGATTATCGAACTTGAAGTCAACCCAAGAATTACAGGTGAGGGATCCGCGATTTGAAACCCTGGGTGAGGGTAATCGGATCGGAGTCGTGGAAGCCTTGAAAAACAATCTCAGTCAAGAACATCTCTTTGTGATGCTCATTCTCCACCAACACGGCACCTATTTCTCCGCACTCTTGCCCTACTTTGAGATCCGCCTCGTATGTCACATCGTCACCCTTCTGTTTCACTCGATGTGCGTAAGCTTTGATCGTCTCCTGCTCTTGCCCCGTTTCTGCATGCCCACAACATTTATACGCAACTAGATGTAACGTTAAAGTTGAAGAACGAAAAAAGAAAAAGAACTGTGAGCTTAGTTTCATCACTTACTGGGGTCAAGCTCGGCGCTAACAAGTTCCAAGAGAAGTGATTTACAGAGCAAGTCCTGTATATCATCTAACGCAACTAGATGTAACGTTAAAGTTGAAGAACGAAAAAAGAAAAAGAACTGTGAGCTTAGTTTCATCACTTACTGGGGTCAAGCTCGGCGCTAACAAGTTCCAAGAGAAGTGATTTACAGAGCAAGTCCTGTATATCATCTAAGCCTATTTGGAACCCTAAGTTGGTGATGAGACCAGAAACAGTTTGTTTAACTGTGACGAAAGCTTTCACAGCGGAAACAGAATCGACATCATCGGTGAGAGTAGTCGTAGTTTCTAGTGTCGCTTTGGTTTTGTTTGGAACGAACCTTGCTTTGAAACCTTTGTCTGTCTTGCTCCACGAAGAAGAAGAAGAAGAAGGCTTGTAGTATTTCAAAGGAAGAAAACCAAAGGCAGTGCCGTGTAAGAACGGCTTGTGCAATGGAAATAACAGGGTTTTGTTGGTGCTGGGAAGATAAACATGTGGCTTCCACATTTTGGAGATCAGTGGATAGGTATATGTAAGGTTGTAGTTGAAGAAACCCTAATATAAGCTGTTTTATATATAGATGGATACAGAGGTCATACATTTAAGATTTCATTTTTTATTTATTTAGTTTTTTTTATTTCCCCCTTTTTGTCTTTTATTTTGACAGTAATGATTCAATGAACAGATATCTTTGATTACTGTAAAACATAGCACGACCACGGGATAAATGAGCCCAAATGAGGCGACTACGAGATCCTTCTCTCATTGACGTTTTCATCATATTTAAATATGTTGGATTTGACAATTAACACTAAAATAAAAAAATTTCAGAAAGAATAGGTATTGAGATGGAACAAAAAAACATGGACCTGATTGTGGTGAGGTTTAGGGTCGGGAATCATTCGGGTTGGTTCGGATTTTTTTGGTCCATTCGATCTCATCTGATCTTATCCGAAATAATAAAAAAATATTTTTATTAATTAAAAATTGTGAATTAATTGAAAAAATAATATATAGATGGGTATTATTATAATTATTCTTAAATATATATATATATATATGGTAATAATATATATTTTCTGGGTCGGGTCGGTTTTTTCACCCTAAACTCTACACGAACAAAATTTTTTTTAAAAAAAATCTGACTCAATTGGGTCGGATCAGGTCGAAACTCGTCGGATTCGAGTCTTGTATCAATCCCTAGTGATGTTGACATGACAACCGTAAGTGACCATGCCTTAATCATCAAAATAATCTTTTAAGTACATTAATGTAAAAGGTTTATAAAGCTAATCAATGCTTTTAAATCCTTCTATGGCATATGGCTATTTTGATGGAACTTTGGCCCTTTAAAAAAAATAATTGTAAACTTTTTTCTAATAGTATAACATTATTATAAGGTACTATACGATTAGAATCTTTTAAATTTATTGGTAATGCAGAGATCCTGCAGACATAACTATTTAAACCTATAACTTATATAGAGAATAACATTATCTTTTACCACTGAAATCACTTAATAAGTTAAATAATTGTAAACTTAAAATAACTGAAATGATTTGAATTTAAAATTTACATTACTATAATTAAATATTGATAAGATATTTGGACAAGTAACTTCCATCCTTATAATTAAATATTGATAGTTTATTCAATAAATAAAAGTTTACAAAAATATTTTTTTAAAAATTTGTCAAACAACAAAAAGTAATTTCCACAATATTATGAAAACACCATAAAATAATTTTCGAAAATTATTATTCAAAAAAATTGTAAAATTTATTTTCAATGAAATAAACATACCTCAAAACAAAATCACAATACACAACACAAAACATAGCAGCTTTACATGAATCATATCTTGATCGATTTACTTTGATGAAAACTATGAAATATCAAAACTTGAGAGGCACACTCCATATTGTATGAGATATATTCTACCAGTAAATTAGGAACATAATTAAAATAGGGTAAATTACATAGATCATGACTAAACTTTTAATATTTTTTTCATTTTGATCATTAAATGTTTAAAACTTACATTATAATTATTAAATTTTTGGTTTACTTTCATTACGGTCACTATTATTAGTTGTCGCTAAGAAATACTTACGTGGTATGTTAAGTCTTTTTTAAAAAACTAAATTTGCAACTGTCTGCAAGGCTACATTTATGATGAACGAAACGGTCTTGGGTCAATTATAGTATTGGGAAGGCTCCTTTTAGTGACTAACAATAGTAAGCATAATGAAAATGGATTAAAAGTTTAGCTACTATAATGTAAGTTTTAAAAGTTCAGTGATCAAAATGAAAGGTCTCTAAAAGTCCAGTGAATAGTTTAAACTTAAAAATAAATCACTTAAACTAAAACTGTTGAGAGTCAAAATGAAGATACAAGTCAGTTGACGAACAGTCTCAAGTCCTAACCTGCATTTCACGGCATAAAGCAACACAATGAAAACGTGCCAAGTGGAATATTATTTTATACAAGTGGATGTCGTCCATAGGTTTCTCCATCTTAAATATCTCGCTGCACTAGCAAGCAACGACGTCATCTGATAATCCGGAGGAAAATGACAAGGAGCAAAACAAAATATAAATGAGACACAAGCTTTCAAAAATAAATCTTAAATCATATCACACGACAATGCCGAATGGTTGACGATCACATTTATCGACATTGCCAGCACATAAAATCAACTTAGTCGGGTATGAAAACTGAGTTCAATATATAGCTTCAACTGAATTTAAAGCCTACAGGGTTGATATCATGCAAAGTTATTATTGCATAAATCTCCTTTAGATAGGACCAAAAGGAGAAGAAAAAGGGGCCTAAACTAACCACTTATTCCATTCAAAGTAATACTAACTTGAGTAACATTTGGACATGCTGAAATTCATGCAGTTGAAGCATATGGACATGGACATGGTGGAGCTGGTACTTGCACAACTCCTTCAAGCATCTGTGTGACCTCTCTCATGGTGGGTCTCAGCGACAGATCTTCTTGAATACACCATATGGCAACTTGCACGAACCTCTCTACTTTTGCTAGGTCATGCTGGGCATCAACGTCGTTTTCAACCAGCAAATCTAATGTTTCTTCGAGGTAGCAGTCGTAAGCCCAATCGGTTAGAATTGCTCTCTCCTCGCTGCTGCTCTCCATGTCTACACTTTTTCGGCAACATGTGAGTTCTAACAGCAGCACTCCGAAGCTATATACATCCACCTTCACGGATATCGGCAGGTTCCTAAACCACTCCGGCGCCACGTATCCTTTTGTCCCTCGTATATATTGTATTGGTCTGGCTCTGATTCAACATCAAAAGCTTTGCCAAACCAAAGTCTGAAATCCTTGCGTTGTAGTACTCATCAAGCAGAATGTTCTGAGGCTTTATATCACAGTGAATAATCTGTGTGCTGCATTCTTCATGCAAATAGAGGAGCCCCCTTGCAATCCCAAAGGCAATTTGAGTTCTTTGAATCCAACTAGGCCTTAAGCCACCAAAAAGGAAGCTTGCTAGAGTGCCATTGCTCAAATACTCATAAACCAGTAACCTATTCTCTCCCTCATCACAGAATCCGAGCAATCGTACGAGGTTCTTGTGATGCGTTTGGCCGATTACATTCACTTCAGTCTTGAATTCTTTCTCAGCATGACCATGTACCAACGTATTCAATCTTTTCACAGCTACCTGACTGATGTAACTCATAGGTAATGTCCCTCTGTAAACAATGCCAAAAGCTCCCCTTCCTAATTCTTCTCTGAACTCATCTGTAGCATCCACAAGCTCTTTGTAAGTGAAAGAACGTAAGTTTGTTTCCACGACAGGTTCACTCCTAGGCAATGGTTCGAGTTTCTTTCGGTAGATGAAGTAAAATCCTAGACAACTTGCAGTAACCAAAATGATAATAAAGAACACAGAAACACCTAGAAGTACTGATAATAAGGATCAAAGGTTCCTGATTCTTGTCCTTGTTCTTCAGTTCTTGATTCGGAAAATAAGGAGCCAAGGGAGGTCGGCCGCCTTTCCTAACTTTGATGAGAGCTTTTCCCCCATTGAGAGTGGGATCAAATCTTCCATTCGACAGTGGAAGTTTCTTCTTCCAACACTTATCTCCTAGTCTAAAAATTGCAACAGCACACATACAATCGTTCAAGCAAGATTGTCTGCATTGGTCTTCGGTAAAAGGCTCCAAGAGTGCATAGTCTGCTAGTGGCCAATCCACATTTATTAGCACTTCGAAGTCATACAGATCTTCCACAGGAGCAGGCTCTTGGTCACAACTCTGTGTGAAGTTAGGCTTGCAATTGCCATACCGGTTCATTGGATCAACTAAAGTATACCCGCTGGGACATCCACAGCTCGGCCTCTTCTCAGCGGTGATACTGCATATATTGTTCAAACCACATGCACCGCTACCAGCATTAATCGGAGTTGATGTGCAAATATTATCAGGCTCAGACCAAAGAGCAGTCCACCTTGCATTATTCCCAGTGAAAGTCTTGGGGTGAGAGTAGAGTGTGAAAACTCCATCGAAACCGAGAGTTGCTCTGTAGTAAACGTTTTTAGCTGAGCCTGTTGTTCTCTGTGTTAGAAGGTCTCTTTCTTCATTTTCTCTCAAAACAAACAGGTAGCCAGACTCATTGAAGACTAACTGAGAAGCAGGACTAGATGAATTGGAATCTCCAGCTGTACCACTTTTATGATAAGGATCATTAACATGGTCACTGGGCAAGTTTACTGTAGCAAGAACAAGGCTGTCATCTGATCTCAAAACCAACCGGAACCTCCCCTTGGAAAAGTTGGTCTCTGATTGCCGGGACGATAGGAATAACCCCTCATCAAGCGTCTGTGATGGAAGCACAGTATCGGCGGGATATTTGAAGCTCTCCCAAAGTACAGAGCCACTTCCTAGAAGCTTAAAACTTCCATTATCATCCATAACACCGCTATCAACAGCCCCGTTACTAACCTCAGAATTCCATAGCTGTTCACCCTGAGGGTTACTAAGAACAAATTCTCTGTCGGCCGTTAGCTGCAACTTTGATCCCTTTGGCGCAGGGCTGTCGCCATTTGCATACCAAACAAGAGTTCTGTCTGGTATCTTGTTGTACCAGATAGCAAGCAAGAAGAGACTTTTGTCAGAGCTGAGTTGGTGAAAACCAAAGGCGTAATCACCCGAGGGAGATATCCATGGATGGGAGTTTTCATCAGCGGAGAGAGAAGCACCCACCGTTAGGTTACCGACGGTTTGAGCATCGGTCCTGACCAGCAGTAAAAGTAGAAGGGAAATCAGTGGAAAGAATACCAAAGCCATTGGGAAGAATCAAAGTGATTTTTTTTTTGGGATAAAATGACCGACGCTAAGCTAAGCATTATAACCCTGATAAGGTGTGGAGTTTTCTTTCCTCGAACTGGATAAATAGCAAAAGGCTAGTGGAATTTTTGTTAGAGAAAATAATTTTAGTGACTGAAAATGTCTTATAATATACGATTTTGATCAATTTTTTTTTTGATTTATCAAAATGACCAACAAAATCGTAATGCGATCTCTAAATCGCAACGCGATCTCCAGTATCCAAATCAGTTTCCAGATTCGCAATACGATTTTGACTATCGCAATACTGAATTTCAAATTTACAACAGGTTTTAGTTTCGCAACACAAATGTTTTGGGTATATAACTACGCAGCAGCAACAACTCATAACCTAAATCCCTAAATCGCAACTCATTCCATCTCCATCTATCACTCTCTCCGGCGACATCCATTCCTATATCCAACGACATCATTCCCCATCCGACAATAGGTTTTAGTTTCGCAGCTCGTTTGTTTAGTAAATTAATTTACAATAATGAAATCATCTAATGTTGATCATGTTGGGATAGATTTGTGTTTTGGAGGGTCATGGGAGAATGTTCATGGTGTTTTACAATATACGCTTTTACCCATGAATCTTCAACTAAAACTATCTTTAAAAAAGTTAACTTATGAAACTCTAATGTTATGTGTTGCAAATAAATTGAATTTAGAGTCCCTAAGTGGATTTAGGTTATCTTATCAAAGAAAATGTAAAGTTTATTTGTTAACCGACAATGAAGATGTTGAACGATTCATTGCTTACATTAGTGTTTCGCAAGATGATGTTACATTGTATTTTGTTGAACCTAAAAGTAGTGAAGTTGGGTCAATAGCGGGTAGTAATCAACTAAGTTTTTCAACCTTAGTTTATGGTGCTCAAAATTTAATGGTTCCACCATAATTTCATCACCAAGCAAATTCTGTTTCACCACATTTCCAATACCAAACACAATCTCAAAACCCACAACCTTTCCCTAATCCAAATCCCAATAAACTTTCAGCACCAAATTCCGGTTTTCGTATTGACTAGTTAGACGATGATGAGCCAACAGAAAAAATTGTGAGTACTAGTCAGTATTCGAAATTTGATCTTGGTCAATACCCGGACTTTGATCTTGGTTAATACTCGGATTTTGATGATTTCAGAAGAAACAGACCCTGCGTGTAATGATTTTGATATTGGTCAATACCCGAATTTGATGAACAGCCGCCGCTGCCGAGGAAGATGTTGTTGATGATAATGAGGAGGAAGTTACGAATGTGAATGAATATGTTGAACATCCATTATGTAATTCATATAACCCTGAAGAAGAAAAAGAAGAAGAAGAAATCCCCGAAGAAAAGTCCCCGAAGAAAATACCACGTGAGTATAACTGGAATATGCCAGAATTACTTCAGATACCGGAAGAAGAGTTGGTAAAGATAGCAGTTGATTGTTACACAAAAAATATTCGTATCAAGAAAGATGATTGTTTTGATACAAAGGAAGACTTGAAGATAGCTTTGTATACAAAATGTGTGGAAGATGGCTATCAACTAAAAGTTAACAAATCAAGCAAAGATCGTTTCGAAACAAGGTGTATGATTGACAAAAACTGTATGTGGCATATAATTGCAAAGAGGATAAAAGATTGAGAAATATTTCAAGTTAGGACTTTTATTGATAAACATACATGTTCAAGAACTCAAGTTTTTCCTCACCATAGACATACAAACAAAAAGGTGTTGGGTGGTTTTTTTGCTGAGTTAATGTTTTTGAATGGCAGGGTATATCGGGGACATGAAATTATGACTGACATGAATGCTCGGTTCAAGATTAGTATCTCATATTCTCAAGCTTGGAGAGCCAAATGTTATGCCTTGGAATTGTTGAGGGGGTCGCCAGAAGCATCGTTTGCCCAACTGCCGGCTTATTGTCACAATTTAAAGCTGAAAAATCCTGGGTCGGTAACTCATATCAAAACAGATAGAGATGGACGCTTTGAGTTGCTGTTTATCGCCATTGGTGCTGCGGTTAGTAAATCAATATAATTTTGTTGACTCATTTTTGTTAGTTACATGCATTTCACATTTAAATGATTATATTTCTTGTGTATATTATTTTGTAGATTCGTTCGTTTATTACTTGCATGTGCCCAATTATTATAGTTGACGGAGCATATTTGAAAGGTCGATACCTTGGAGTAAACTTATTATAGTAAATCAATATAATTTTGTTGACTCATTTTTGTTTACATGCATTTCACATTTAAATGATTATATTCTTGTGTATATTATTTTGTAGATTCGTTCGTTTATTACTTGCATGTGCCCAATTATTATAGTTGACGGAGCATATTTGAAAGGTCGATACCTTGGAGTAAACTTATTAGCAGTAGTCATGGACGCTAACAATGGGATATTGCCAATAGCTTATGGGGTTGGCAAATCTGAAACCTCTGATTCATGGACATGGTTTATGGGACATCTTAGGGATTGCATAGGTCCTATTAGCAATCTGACAATCATATCCGATAGGGCAAACTCAATTGACAACGCTGTTAGAAGGTGTTTCCCAGATGCTTTTTATGGACTTTGTGGTGTTCATTTGTATAGAAATATAAAATCAAGGTCTGCTGTATAAAAATCACAAATGGACATACTGGAAGGCTGTAAAAGCTTATCAGGAAGTGGATTTTAATAAGCATATAAATTGTTTAAGACGTGTTTGCCTCAGTGTGCTCAAACACTAGAAGATGTCGGGTTTGAAAGATGGTCAAGAGTACATCAACTTGAGCAAGATATGGTTTCATGACGTCTAATAGTGCAGAATCAATCAACGCTCTAAGTCGTAATTCCCGGAAATTACCCATACTATGTAATGGAGTTTTTTCGAGCCTCTATTCAATAGTGGTACTAAAGAAAAGAAACCATGCAGGTATTTCTTTAAATTTGTAACTATCATATATTTTACTAAGTATTATTTATTTAAATTTACAGGAACATTAGAACATCGTGTTACACCATGGACTGAAAAAAGATAACGAAACGTGTTGTGAAGTCAACGTCATGGAGAGTGAACCATGTTCAAACACTTTGTTGAAGTACTGGATAATAACTTAAATGGGCTTGTCGATCTAAATGCAAAGACGTGTAGTTGTATGAAATGGCAAACATCTGGTTATCCGTGTGGCCATGTTATAAAAGTTGCTCTTCATCTAAACCAAGATGATTCAGCGCATACGCTATGGATTGCTACACTACAGAAGTATATCGACAGACTTATGCCGAGATTATCTACCCTATTTCACATCCTTCTGAGTGGGACATACCAGATGACTTACAACAGTTTTGCTACCAGCCATGGACAAGGCTACCTGGCCGACCAAAAGTCACGATCGTATACCGTCTAAGGGTGAAGAGAAGAAGAGATCGACATGTAGTCGGTGCAAGGAAAGTGGTCATACAAGGTTGACATGTGGATCACCAGTGCCATCACAATCATCTTTTCCTCTACCAAATATAGATCCTCATCAAATCCAAAGCTCATATGGTGTCAAGCAAAAGGCAATCAAATAGCAATCAAAATCAAAAATCCCAATCACAACCGCTTCACCTTTTGGGACTACTAACTTAGGTGATTTTTAAATGCAAACGTTGTATTGTAAATCAACAAATATGATGCAGATTGAAATCAACAAATCAACTTTTACATTTCAATCAATTAAACAAGCACAAATAAAAATTATTTACACATCAATTAAACAAATCAATTTTTACAAATCAACTTTTACAAATCAATTAAATAAAAAATAATAATAATTCTTATTTTCCTCATCAATTAAACAAAAATCAACTAAAGAATCAATTAAACAATAAAAAAAAGTGTACCTCAGACAGTTATTTATGCACACATACATCAATTTCACGCAGCTCACTTCAGGATTAACCTGCAGAAACCAAACATTTGCTCAAACAACACTTTCTACACATCTAAAACCAACAAATAGCAAATTATTGAATTCTAGGTACTTAACAACACTTGCATTTGACTTACCAGATGTTTATGGACACTTTCATAACGCGGATGCAGGTAGGCAGCGTCTCGCATATATCGCTCTAGCCATAAAATACCGAAACCACAAGCCTACTGCACCTCTATCTCTATCGGTGGGAGGTAGAAAATGTGTACTTCCTGTCGTCAAACCGCTCCAAGCACATGCATACGAGAGGACCACAATCCCCTCTGGCTCCCTGCGTTTGTTGGGCGCGGTCTCATCTCTGATAACTGTAACATTGAACTTCTTTGGCTTCTTGTTTCCAGAATAAGTCCAATTAATCGCATCCAAGAATTTAGTCAAATGAGAGCTCCATCCCTTAATAATATCTCTCAAATCAAACAATGATATGTAATTTATCATGTTGTCATATACTATTGTCTTCAGGGATGGGAGCTGAAGCTCGACGAGAATCCAATGATTACGTTCCAAAACAGGGATAAACACCTACAATCATAAGTAATAATTCAATTGCGTACTTATTTATGAACACCTTTAAAATATTTAAAAAATAAATACTAACATTATCGATCTCCTACCATGCAGGATAAAGTTTAGCTTGTCCATTACTCAACACATATGATTCTTCTCGTTGATTCTTCAAGTGAACTACGTGAAAAGACGTTAGCATAATTGTATATCGCGTATTTTTTTTAATTTTTCCTCATTTTCCTTATTATTAGAAGACGTGAGAACACCTTTAAATATTTAAAAATAAATACTAACATTATCGATCTCCTACCATGCAGGATAAAGTTTAGCTTGTCCATTACTCAACACATATGATTCTTCTCGTTGTTCTTCAAGTGAACTACGTGAAGACGTTAGCATAATTGTATCGCGTATTTTTTTTATTTTCCTCATTTTCCTTATTAGAAGACGTGACACACATCAATGTTGTTTACAAAAAAAAACATATATTAGTGATACATAAATTTTAAAAAAAATTAATCAAAATGAATATAGAAAAATATAAGACTTACCCCCTATCGAAAAGCCATTGTCTTCAACCCCTAATAACACACCCACCAAGACCGATCAAGCAACAAATGCATATCATCGTGAGTTTGTATATGTCGCGTAACACCCCTGGCTCCGCTCATGTAGATAAAAATCAACTGCGGTCTTAGCCCAAACGGTATTATCCAGAATTGTTTCCGGTAGTTTTCTCCTCTCCTCTTCATCTGCCGGAATGGTACTGGCCGGTAACTAATACGAAAGCCAACACTCATCCATCATGTCCGGTACGTGAGAGGGTTTCTCAATAATTCAACATATTACGCCGTATGAATCGGGCTCTTGAATGGTGGGAGGGACCTCTTCAACGATGACAGTGGCCTTTTGAACGGTGGGAAGGGACTCTTGAGGGATGATAGGGGCCTCTTGAACGATATGAGAGGCCTCTTGAACGATGACAGGTGAGTCGGGCTTCTTCTTACGGAGTCTTCGCATTATTGGGGTGAACGGAGACGTAATGGCACGTGCATGCCGTCTGATGCGTGAACCTTGTCGTGCAAGAAAAACCCGACGTAAAGCATCCACCTTATCGGGCCGCTAAAAATAAATTAATACATAAATCAGTAAATAAACAGACATGATATTAACCAGTAAACTTATCATCAATTTCAATATGAAAAACCTAATAATAATGCAAAAATTTCAAAATAAAAATAATTAAAAATCTAACCCTCGGTGGTTGATTTGGTTGATTTTCCATTTATGACCGTGAATGATTCTGAGGGTGGCTCTGAGAGATGGAGATAGACGGATTTTGCCGGAGATGGGGATGAATTTCGTCGGAGATGGGGACAAATGTCGCCGTAGAGAGTGAGAGATGGAGATGGGACTGAGTTGTGATTTAGGGTTTTAGGTTATGAATTGCGATTACGGGATATATTAATATTCGTGTTTAGAATTTAAAAATAAAATATGTGTTGCGATACTAATGGCGCTTTGAAAATCGCATTGTGATTTTGTATTATCGCGTTGCGATAGTCAGAATCGCGTTGTGATTTACATATTCGCATTGCGATAGTCAAAATCGCGTTGCGAATCTGGAAACTGATTTGCGATATTGGAGATCGCATTGCGATTTTGTTGGTCATTTTGGCAAATCGAAAAAAAGTTGGTCAAAATCGTATATTATAAGACATTTTCGGTCACTGAGGTTATTTTCTCTTTAGGTTATGAGTTGCGATTACGGGATATATTAATATTCGTGTTTGGAATTTGAAAATAAAATATGCGTGCGATTTTGTTGGTCATTTTGGCAAATCGAAAAAAAGTTGATCAAAATCGTATATTATAAGACATTTTCGGTCACTGAGGTTATTTTCTCTTTTTGTTATACCTGTTTATTCTTTAAGCCAATGATGTAAGGCATTCACCATTTCAATTGACAATTCAAGTACCATAGCCGCCGAAGGGAATGCCAAAAATTCCAGTCCTCTTTGTCTGGAATGACGGGAAATTAAGGACGCTTGGCACATGTCATATATGGTCCATTCAATCATATAAGAAGGGAAAACTTTCGAGATAATGTTCTTGAACAAATTATTTCACAACATAATGAACTCCCCCGATTAATTGCTCAAATAGGGTGAAATCTACAGTGTTGGTCGTAGGTCGTCACGCCATCCGGGCGACCTACTAGGTCGCCATGTCTTCCCGGCGAGCTATGAGAGAGATTGCATGTGTCATGCATGTCCTAACACGCTGGGCATCCGAGGCCATCCGAGCAAGCTATGCGAGAGCATCCGAGGCCATCTGACCTAGGCCATCCGAGCGAGCTATGCGAGGGCATCCTAGGGCAAGAGGAATCACGCGAGGAGCAGGAGGGAGTGCATGGCGACCTACAAGGTCACCCGGAGGGCATGGCGACCTATGCTTGGGGACGTGCATGGCTAGTCATGTAGTAAGTCGCCCGGATGGCATGGCGACCTACGGCCACTGTGGAATTCACCCTATTTGAGCAATTAATCTGGGGAGAGCATTATCTAGTGAAATAATTTGTTCGAGAACATTATCTCGAAAGTTTTTCCAAGAAGAAGGCTATTTTTCCATGTGAATTTACTTACTAATTAATTTCCTATTTTGTCCATTCAGTGTTTGTCCCCCCTCTTTACTCCATCTTCCACCATGTCATAGTGCTTGCAGCCAACTACGGTTGCTGCTCCTATTGCCGGTTCAATGCCAAAAATCTATTTAATGTACTACTTGATACTTGAATTTGGAAGGTTTAAATAAATGCTTATATTTTATTATTTAAATTTATATTTGTGTATGCTTGTTGTACATATGCCAAATTGTTTATTGCAGATAAAGAACATAATAACCAAACTAAGAATCCTTTATAATTCATAATACAGTAAGATGTAAAACCAAAATCAAATTAGGTAGAAAAAAGTGTGCAAGAAAGGCCTTACCAACCAAAAGAAAAGAACAAATACTACAAGAGAGATTGAGAAAGGAAACTTCGGGTAGCAGTGATGGTAAATGGGAATGGATTTGGAGGAATGGTCACTTGGACAGCTCCTTCAAGCATCTGTGTAACCTTCCTCATTGTGGGTCTCTGATAAGGGTCCTCTTGAATGCACCAAAAGGCAGTCATCAACAACCTCTCCAAGCTCTCTCCATCATTAATGGCCTCCTTGTCGTCTCCGATCAAGTCCTCCATTGCTCCTTCATTGAAGCAGTCATAAGCCCAATATGTTAATATCAAGTCATCTCCATCTGTACCTGCATTCTCCTCATCGACGACACTTCTCCGACAACAAATGATCTCGAGTAGTAACACACCGAAGCTGTAGACATCGACCTTGGCGGTTACCGGCAAGTTCCTGAACCATTCAGGGGCCACGTACCCTTTTGTCCCTCTGATGGTGGTTTTAGTATGAGTTTGATCCATCATCAAAAGCTTGGACAACCCGAAGTCGGATATCCGAGCATTGTACCAGTCGTCGAGAAGTATGTTTTGAGGCTTTATGTCGCAATGGATGATCTGTGTGCTGCATTCTTCATGTAGGTAAAGAAGCCCTCTGGCAATTGCTATGGCAATTTGGGTCCTTTGATTCCAACTTGGCTTCGTGTTTTGGAACAGGTAATCGGCTAAAGTGCCATTGCTTAAGAACTCGTACACCAGCAAGCGTTTCTCTCCCTCTTCGCAAACTCCTAGTAACTTAACCAGATTCTTATGATGCGTCTGCCCGATCACATTGATCTCGGTTTTGAACTCTTTGTCCCTGTCTCCTTCCCGAACCACTCTATCTAATTTCTTCACCGCCACGCTACTCGTCCCTATTGTTCCTTTGTAAACAATACCAAAGGCCCCTCTTCCGAGCTCTTCCTTGAAATCATTTGTAGCTTCTGCAAGTTCTTTGTAGGTGAAAACCTTCATCTTTGTTTCCAATCCAACTTGGTTAGTACTTATGGGGAACTTTTTCTGGTAAATGGAGAAAACCCCAAGGCAAAATGCAGCAACCACCTTTGTAAACAATACCAAAGGCCCCTCTTCCGAGCTCTTCTTGAAATCATTTGTAGCTTCTGCAAGTTCTTTGTAGTGAAAACCTTCATCTTTGTTTCCAATCCAACTTGGTTAGTACTTATGGGGAACTTTTTCTGGTAAATGGAGAAAACCCCAAGGCAAAATGCAGCAACCAAGGCGAGGTTTACAAATACAGAGGTACCCAAGAGTATTGATCCAGTGATGATCAAAGTGCCTTGCTTCTTTTCTTCAACGCGATCTGGAATATCAGGGACTGATGGTGGAGTAGGGTCGACTTTGGCAACTTTAATAAATGCCTTACCATTAACGCCACTGTCTTCCCTTCCATTGGAAAGCGGCAGTTTCTTTTTCCAGCAGCTGTCTTCTCTGAAGATGGCAACGGCACACATACAATCATGCAAACAAGATGTTTGGCAGTCCTGCTCGTTGTAAGGTTGGAACTGCTCGTAGTCAGATCTTGGCCAATCGGTGTTTATTAGCACTTTAAAATCATACAGGTCTTCCTCGGCCGTTCCTCCATCATCTCTGCAGCTTAATTCAACGTCTTGTTTGCAGCTACCGTACTTATCATCTGGATCGAGTAAAGAGAATCCTGGTGGGCATGTACAAGTTGGCCTTCCATTTTCGTTTAAGCTGCATATGCTGTTAAATCCACAAGCGCCGCTACCCTTATCCCCAACTCGAAGACAAATATTATCTGGTTTAGACCAAACAGTAGACCACTTTCGGTCCTCACCGCTGCTTCTCTTGGGATAATAATACTGAGCAAAAACGCCATCAAAATCGAGAGTTGCCCTCTGATAGAAATCAGCTGTCGGAGTCAGAAGCGTCGCTCCCGTTGCGAGAGAGAATCTCCGATTGTTCTTTCTCAAAACATACACTTCGCCTGATTCGTTGAAGATCAATCGTTCACCGGAGTTGGAATAATTTGCAGCATCATTCGTACTGGTACTATAATACGGTCCATCATAAACCAAATTAGTAGGCAAATTTACAGCGCTCAGAACAAGATTCCCATCATCCTGTAGACTGAGCAGAAACCTTCCTTGTGAAAAGTTGTTCTCACTTCGTCGAGAAAACAGCCTCCCATTGATCTCCACTATCTGAGTTGGCAACAAGGTATCAGTAGGTCGATCGAAGCTCTGCCATAACAAGTCTGAATTACGACTCCGAATCGCGAAATTGCCTGTATCATTCATAACAGCATAGCCAACTTCATCCATGGTTATATCCGATCTCCATAGTTGCTCGCCTCTGGGATTACGTAAAACCAGCCCATTTCTACCAGTTAACTGGATCACCGACCCCGCCGGCGCAAGAACAGGGCTGCCATTCTCGAATGCATACCAGACAAGGGTTTTAGTTGTACCAGGTATCTTATCAAACCATATCGAAACCAAGAAAACGCCGACGTTTTGATGTTGGTGAAACCCAAATGCGAAATCCCCAGAAGGAGAAAGCCATGGAGAGGCGTCGTTATTTGCAGTGAGAGATGCTCCCACCTCTACCCTTCCATTGTTGGTCTGAGCAACGGCGGAGACTGGAAGCAAAAGCAGTAGAAGAAACAACAAACACGTAGTTGAAGTTGAAGCAGCAAAACCCATTAATGCTCTAAGATTATTTTAGTAAACAAAACAATGGATCGTATTTAAGAATAAAGAAAGAAGCATACATGATTATGTTATATAAAAGGGGAAACAACATTTAAGAAAATTGAGCAGTTTGAATTTAATTTGGTTAATAAAAGTTCATTTTAGATTGACTCGATTCGAGATTTTAATGAGTTGAGCAAAATCAAACTCGACTCAATAATTTCGCAAACAATTCATTAATTTTTTTATAATTTTTTACTAGTTATCTTAAAAAAATTATTTCATTAAAAAATTTACTAATGTACTAATAGATGATAAATTATTAATCTATTAATTTTCTAATAAAAATACTAGATTATTAAATAATAATAATTATTTTACTATCCAAAAATTAAACTCTAATTATTATTTTAATGAATTTGTGTATTTTTATTTTGAAGTTTAGATTTTAAATTTGTTTCATACATTCTTTTAATAATTTTTTGATGAGCTTAACGAGGAACGAAACAAGTAACGAGCATGAGACAAACAACGAGACATGTATTTTTTGTTTCGTAAACTCCTTTAATATAAGATAAAAATTTTGATGAGCTTAACAAGCAACGAGTCAAGTAACGAGCCTAACGAGCACGAGTTGAGCAACAAATTTTTTAACGAGCAACGAGTCGAATCGAACAATAAAAAATTTTAATAAACACGAATCAAATACTACCTAATTCGTGATCGACTCTCTCGATAATCAACTCTACTCCAGATTAATACCGGTGATGATTCCTTGCAATTTCCATGTAGTCATAAGTCATTGTTCCACCGCCCCTTCAATATTTCCACCATAGACTAGACTTTTCACAAAATCTCAAGTCTTTCCCTCTTTAAACGGGCAAGTCTCTATCTCATGACAATAAATGATTTCAAATGTAAATTTTAGCGCAAATTATTTGTCACTATATAAATTATTGATAACAGCAGAATATGATAGATGTATATTTTGATGTTGAAGAGGGTATTATTTTCACTTAAGGTTTCAACTGTGTTGTAAAATATATTTATGTTATCAATTATTAAAAGATATTATGAATAAATATTATCTTATAATCACTTCAAATTATTAAAATGTAAATGTATATTTGAGTTGGCTTTGTCAAAAGATTTAAAAAATTTAACCGATAACAAATATAGTAGTAATATATTTTAATATAATTAAAAAGTATTATTTAAAGGTTTAATACTAGATTAAAGAATTTAATTCAAATCTTCTACTATTCTATTTATTATCATTCTTTATATATATATATATATATATATATATATATATATATATATATATATATTCTACCACATAGTATTATAATTGTGACAAAATCTGATAATTATAAAATTTAGACACAAATTTTTTAAGCTTTTAAAAAATATAAATAGTGTGAAATTGTCTTGTAAATTAATAAAAAAATAACTTTTATGTTCATTTTATAAAATTCTTTAAATTTAAAGACTCCTCCTTGATAATAATAATAATAATAAATACTACTTTTCCTGTTCTTTGAAAGAAGTTAAAAGCGAATTGGTCAATTATTCAAATTTTGCAATTTTCCACACGGACTTGACTTGAATGTTCAATTTTCGTTTTTTTAAATTTATTTTGGTAAAAAGGGCTGTTTTTAAGAAAATGCTATATTTGTATTCTATTAATAAATTTAAATGTAATTTTGAATCTGTTTTGCAAAAAATATAAAATATAAAAAAATTAATAATTAATTATACATATTGTCTTTAGTTTAAATGTAATTATTATGTTAAATGGCATTTTCAAAACCAATAATGTAACACCCAAATCCAATCAACCCAGAGATCTATGAATTACAATATTATACGGGACTATCGAAAAAGTGACCCAAAATTTTTCTTTAAAATTTGTTTATAATCAATGAAACAGATCCATCCATGGTAATAATAATAAACGTGGTAATAATCTGAGTTTACAAAATGACGGGGAGCTCCCAAAATGTATCAAAAATAATACAGTACCAAGTACAAATCAAAGTTATGATTGAATATACATAAGAGTCCATAAATAGTACATGTCTTCTAAAGATGACTCAAGACGTACTGTGATGGTATCTGCTGGTCTGAAATTGCTGCACTAGAATTTCCGATGAAGATTTCCCCACGAACTATCCCTAAGAACCTGCGAGTGAAAACACATTTCGAACGCTGAGCTTACGAGTTCATTGCCTCACTAATAATTGTACAATAATATATGTATTCACTAAATGAGATAGATGATGGCACAGGTTCTGAATCTTGGAGCTCACACGCCCCTCTAGCCTTTCTAAGATACCCTCAAATATGAGTATCGATACTCTGGTGTTGGGGTATCTATACTTGACTGAGTATCGATACTAAACTTTGGTTTTATATTTTGAAAAATACCCCAGTATCGATACCCCTATGGGAGTATCGATACTCCTTCCTTGGTATCGATACTCAAAGAATGAGTATCGATATTGACCCTTTAAAAGCGTCTTGTTTTTGCCTAACTAAAGAATAGTATCGATATTGTTCTTATAGTATCGATACCACCGCTACTAGGGGCTCTATTTTGGCATAAAAAACCTATCTTTTCATACTTAAATACTCCATTGGGGTCCCCAATTGTTATGTGATGTTAATGGTCATAAATAGTCTGTAAACATATTGAAATCACTCAGAATGATGCAATCTACCATGACATGCTTCAAGCTTATGAAATCTATCAAAACTCTTCTAAATTAGCTACATTTGGTATAGAGGAGTTAGGAGTGAGTTACATGAGTGTTTAGTCTGCTGGGAGTGCTCAAAGTTCAACCTAAAGTAAGTTTCTCCTTCTCACTAGCTTGAGAGCTTTCACCAACCTCTCTCACTAAGCAAGAATCAAATAATGAGGGTCACTAGATGAATATTGAGGTTTATGAAGCTTTAAAAGCATTTCCTCAGCCTACAAATCTTTGAAAATGGATGAAAATCTATTGGTTTGATAAACTCCCACAAAAACTCATTTTTGGCTACCATGGCCAAACTTTGCAAAGGAAGGGTTGAATTGAAGATTGGGAGATGATGGTTATGATTCTTACCTCTAAACTGTTGATTGGGGTCTGAAATGCTACAAAGATTCCACATTTACTTTAATTATAAGAGGAAAGAAGAAAATGCATAGGAAGAGAAAAAGATAAGTTTGAAGAAAAAGAAGGTTGAAGGAATCAGACGTGGATCACCAATTTTTAATTGGTTTTCATCTTTATTGTAACACTCTAGACTAGTACGACACATATCCGAACGGTATAGGATGTCACATGGAACCATCGAAGTGGCTAACCAACTTTAAAATTAATTTCTCATGTTTTAAAATGACCATTATAACCAACCATAAAATAAACTGAAATTATAATTAAAAAAAAAAGTCATCTTTTCACTGAGGAACTCCAAAATAAAATATTTACACTTCAAAAATATTACAGACCAACTTGACTTAATCTGTGACTCAACTGGACAATAATGTTTACAAATATACATGCCCAATAAAAACGCTGAGATGTACATCTGATATGCACTAGACTTGTCTGGACCTTGGTTTATCTACTACTTCCCAACTACTTGATCTACTAACATGCCCACAGAAACATCCGAAGGCTGAGCTAACTAGCTCAGAGCCACACTAACGGCTAAAACATACTAACTGCATCACTGAAAAGCTCAAGCTATAAAGTTTACTGCTATCAATTCTACTATCTTTTATGTTCTACTAGCCCGCTCCTAAAGTGTTAGACCTTGCGCCCAGGCTATTCTGCTTTAAAATTGCTTTAGTGAGTATTCTCGAATACTCACTCTCTAAGTTATGGTAGACATCATGGTGCGGCTGAGGGTTCTGCATCACGGAGCTTACACACCCCTCTAGTCTACCCTGGATATGCCCCCCCAAAAATCTTTGCATCGGAAACCATACCCCTGACTAACCCACCATTTCTTCTAAAGAGTGTTAAGGCCTCGGTAAACATAGTTGGTCAGAAGGGCCTCGGCCTTACTTAAGGATATTCGGACTGAATCTATATTGTCTACTCTGTTAGCTTTTCTAAAGAAACTCATGTGTCATGGTCGTTTTCTCGAGCATTCAAACAAGGCTATTTTTTATTTCTCCTAACTTTAACTTGTTTCTACGTTTGAAAATAGCATTAACATTTTTACTTGTAGTCTTATCAGAAGAATTACTAAACTGTTGGAGTACCTCGAGTCTAAAACGCTCAAAAATTGTCTTTATTGCTCAAAACAGACTGAAAGTATTGATACTATCCTTGGAGTATCGATACTCCTGCTAAAGTTTTGATACTTTTATATAAGTACTGATACTTTTAAACATTCTATTCTGCCCATTTCGAAACTTTCTATGAATTTCGAAACTATGACCCAAAGTTTCGATACTCTTGAAAGAGTATCGATATTCTTGCCCAGAAACTCACGAATTTGCCCAAAACGAAGAACAAATATCGATAATTTACCTGCAGAAGTCATAAAACAAGTACAAAAACTCTATTTCTCAATCTCAAAGACCTTAGTGAGGTCCCCAAACATGCTTAAAGTTTTAGGTGAATATAAGGAGCATAAATAAGGCTTTATATCATGCTTATAACATCAAATGAACAATCTACCATATAAATTGCTAAACATGCTTTAAACTTAACTTTTTAACACACCTTAACTTTTCATGATCTACACTTGGTATGAGAAAGCTATAAGTGTGTTACCTAGCCTTTTTGTTGTTAAACTCCACTTGAATCAACTAGGATTTACCTTACCTTCAAGAAAAACCCATTTTTGAAAACAAATTCTATAACTTACAAAATAGATCCTAAAACAAAGCTTGAAGGATGAAGAGAAACATTCTTACCTTGGCTACAACAAACTAAGCATGAATCTTTAAAATTTTGCACTTAAGAAAATAAGAAGAAAAGAAAAAAGATGATGAAGAAGAAATGAGTGTTTGGTGAGAAAATGGTGGGGTGGTTTCACGTAATCATGATATAA